TAAGATTGTTCGCGGTGGAAAAGACGACGCAAAAAATATTGCAGGTAAATAATCATGCGATGCGTTTTCTTGTGAGATTGTTCGATATTTCATCGTACTGTAAAGTTTATGAGGTTAGGGTTAGGTTAACATAGCATGTCATGGTCTACTATGCCATGTCACTCAGTATGATCAGAATCGTTGCTTTCTCCCATGATAAAAATATCAATAAATATCGCGACGAAGGTTTTCTTTTTATTTGCGGTGGTTTAGAATTAAGTTTAGTTGTTTATATCATCTATATAGTCCATGATGCATTGTGGTCTAGTCTGCACTCCCGTCTCTGTGCACAGTGAATTTGTCGTTGATGAATCGATGCGACAGCGATTGGACTCGATCGCAATGAGGAGTTTTCGTTCTTTAATCGTTTGATCCTAAAATGGATATTTAAAACGAGTATAATTGCTATAAATTCGATTCAGAATGATGTCAATATCAATTGTAACAAAACATGTATTGAGTATTGAGTATATCACTTAATATCTATAATATCTATAAAATCTTAATATCTATAAAAAATTATATTTAATGATTATAAACAGGAAGATACGTCGGGGATAATCTTCAAAGATTTTCATTTCTACTTATAAAAGTCGTTTTAACAGTGTTACAACATAATAACAGTTTTACAACATAATAACTATATTCTTTTCTCATAGAGAAGAAAAAAAATTCTATTCGAGTTTGATAGAAAACTTGAATAGGCAATGTTATTGCCTATCTATAATTGATATATATATCAAGTTTTATAAATATTATATAATTCATATCTTTTTTTACTATTTGTATATAATATATTTATTGTATATATGTGCAACAAACTTGATTTCTATAAAAAATATTTTGCAGGACTTTGGTTCATATTAATTTACATTTAATTGCAATAAAGTCTTATGTTTGCAGTGAGAGAAAATGATGCAGGATGAAGACTTGGGTGGCTCAGTGAGAAAAAATATCTTCAGTCAAGGAATAATAAGAATATCACAGGTTAATATGAGTTTATAATTGTTCATATAAACACTAACATTTATAACATTTTATATAATATATACACAATTATTCAGTTTTATTTTTTTCTATTAAAATACCATACTACATATTAGCGCTACTTGACAAAATTAAATGCTGATAAAGATGATCATAATTATTATATTTTTATAAACTGCTTCCTATATTATCCTTCCTGCATTGTCCTTTTTTATGCTCTTTAAATTTCATTTTAATTTGCATATTTTCAGCTTAATCTTTATTCTCATTCTTGTGTGCATCATATAATTTATAAAATCTCTTTCTTCTATTTCAGATATATCAAAGATACCTAGATGTGTGGACTCCTCATGTAATATCACGATGGATATTTGCTTTATTCTTATTAGTACTTTTTATTCTACGTATATTTATCTCTCAAGTACGGTATTTTCTATTAAATTATATGCAAACTTAATTCTTTACAATTGTATTGTACGATACTATAGAAACGCTTTTGTATTTACAGGGGTGGTATATTGTCACATACGCACTAGGAATTTATCACCTCAATTTATTCATAGCATTTCTTACTCCAAAAATTGATCCTGCCATGGATTTTTTTGATGGTAAGCAATTTGCCAGATGTATTTTAAACTTTTTTATATAATTGTATTATGAATTATACATAGAAAAAAATTTATAATGATTCATTGCATTCAATAAATGCAATGTGATTTAATTTAATGAAAAGATTTAAATATTTTGTAGATTCAGATAATTAAAAGTACAGATTAGAGTTAAATGTAATGTAATTTAAAGATAAGAGTTTTATACTCCCTCTTTTTATTTAACATGGGGTATACTCTTTTTTTTTTTTCCTTTAACACAGATAGAATTAAAAAATTAATTTAACATGAAATAAAATTACAGATGGAGAAGGTCCTGAGTTACCTACAAGATCAAATGAGGAATTTAGGCCGTTCATTAGAAGATTACCTGAATTTAAATTCTGGTATTCAGTAACAAAATCTACAATTGTTGCCATGATATGCACTCTATTTGATTGCTTTAACATACCAGTATTCTGGCCGATACTTGTTATGTATTTCATAACATTATTCTGTATCACAATGAAGCGGCAAATAAAGGTAAGAAATCGACGGTAGATTTGTATAGTTTTCATTTTTATTTATTTTTTATTTTATTTATTTTTTTTTATGAATTCTGATAATAGTTGATATAAACGTTTAAAAGTTACGTGAAAAAAGTTAAATACAGTATTCTATTGAAAATGAGAAAAAAAAGATCTTAAAAAATTCTAAATTTAAATTGAAGTGTAGGAATTAAACGTTAAATTAAACGCATTCTATAAATAAACGTTTTTTTTTTCGAAATAATTTCGGGAAAGTTGGTATGAATGATCGATAAACAGTCTTCTGTTTAAGTTGAAAGCTTATTTAATCTTTAATTTATTTTTTACTGCTTATTTTTTAATTTAAATTAATGTATTTTTTTTCTATTCGCAGCATATGATCAAGTACAGATACCTGCCTTTCACTCATGGCAAACCAAAATATCAGAACCATGAGGATACATCACGATTGATATCATCAAAGTGAATAAAAGTAAAGATATATTGTGCCTGTACAGGGGGGGGGGGG